CTGCCCTGCCCTGCCCTCCCTGTCTTGTTCCCCCCCCTCTCCCCCCTCCCCGGCCCACACCGCTCATTCAACTGGTCGCGATCATTAAACGCACGCTGTCTCGCGACGCCGTCCCGCCGCGCTCTCGTGCGTCGAAAATGCCATCCGCACTGACGATTCCTCACATCCCTCGTCCCCGCCGCCGTTCCATCGGATCCACCGCACTGCCACGGCGCCCGCGCACTGTCTGCTCCGATCAGTGCCGTCCCCGATGGCCCACCCGTCTAGATATTTCGCTGCCACGCACGTACGGTAACGGCCGACTGCCCGCGCGCCCCAATCTGATCGGCATCCATCTCCATCTGACGCCCACCTCTTGATCGCCCTCACAAACCGTGTCAGCCCATTGGCACGCCGCATGACAACAAGCATCCCGCTAAAGACACCCTGCCTAAATTCCCGCACTGTTGACGGACACTTCGCCAACATAGAATGCATCACAGTTTCTTCAAGCGTATCCCTTTTTACACTTGCACAGAATTCTCGCCGCTGTCCTCTGTCCTCCTCGTTCCTCCGTCCCACGTGTACCCGTGTCACCCCTCCTCCCGTTTCTTCACCCTGAAACTGTCGCAATACACTTCAGCAGCCGCCTGTTTCACTCAGTTCCCGGCAATGAGACAGTATGTTTTACAGGATGCGCCTACAGTATTACTCCCTTTATTTTCGACAAGTCCACTACCCTTGGGCACTGTACAGCAGCTCTACGATGCAAACAAGGTCCCTCACGAGAGATTATGGCGCTGACACTGTTTCTCACCGTGTTACACGGCTTCTATCTCCATCAACTTGCTCCCTTGCTCCATATCCAGCGAGGTCACAAATTCCCTACAGTACCCGCATTACTCACCACCTTACCCATCGCTGTCCTGACACCACGCCTCCGACCCCGCCTTAGGTGCGAAGAAACCGCTGCCCGTTTTTGCGCAGAAACCGCTGTCCGTTTCTCGTCCTCTTCGCCCATTTCTATCCACGTCAACTCCCATTATAGCCAACCCCACAACAACCCTCACAACTTCCCCCACCGGCATCCACCACCGTATCCACCACCGCCATGGGGTCAGCACACCTCCCCAACTCGCCCCACCACTACGTACACTCTTCGTACCGCCGCGCTTATCCGGTGCTGTCCTCCAACTCCCCACCCCAGACTTACGCCCCTGCGCGATCGCGCGACTGACCTCCCAAAGTCCTTGTTTTCGCCCGCCTCTTTCGCCATCCGGTAGCGCCCCGTCGCGTCACCCACCGCCTCCCAAAGGGCAAGCCCGTTTTTAACACCCGGTCCCTTCCCCGTGCCGCTCCCCAATCGTCCTCTCCGCCGCACAAAAAGCGCCACCGCGTCCCCGCACCTCTGTACATTCCCCTCCCCCCCTGCCTGCGTGGCAAACGACGGCTCCCACTGCAGGGCGCGGCCAGCCGCACGTTGCTGGAAACGGGCCCCGACGCGCGTCTGCGGGTGGAGACGTCGCTAGTTGCGTTGCGTTTCCAATTCGACGCCCTTATTGCTTCGCCAGACTTTGCCTGTGGGGCAGGTGTCCTCGGCTTCTTGGCAGATTTGTCGCAACTGTTTGGGCAGAGGCCTCGCCCTAGCGTATTTCTCTCACTAAAAAGGTACATAATTGTAGGCAAGGTGCAGCCTTCAATTCAAAACACTTGTAAATGCCCAAGAATCATTCATCGGTGCTCGCTTATCATACTGTACGTACCGCCACGCACTTGTGCAGTGTGAAGTGCGTGGCGGTACGTACAAGTACAGTATGTTTGAAGTTCACACATCATGGGCCGTACACAGCGCATGGGAGCAGAACTGCATGTTACACGCAGGGATTTCTGCGCGAGATTGTCTGCATGTTATGTGGATGAGGACCACTGCGAGCGTTTATCACAACTGACAAGGAAAGGGAAATGTTGGCGAGGCAACAAGTGCATGTTCTTCAATAATGGTGTGGCGTTAATTCGTATTTTTCTTTATCTCAAGAGTATGCAACCAAGATACACGTACGTTTTTGCGTTTTTCTTTTCTTACAATTCACATCTTCTAAAGCTTACCGCTCGCCGGCGATACTGCTCTCGCCCCATCCTCCAAACCTTTGGCTACACCAGATTCGGCCTTTGGATCTACAACCAAAGCAGAAATAATCGTGATGTCGTCTACCTTGCCGCCAAGAAACAGATGTCCCGCTTTTTGGGCGTTCACAGCAAATGGCGACGCACCCCGTTCATCATTGGCCACCTTGACAGCGAATTCCGCCAGCTGTTGCGCAATCATCTGTGCCTCCTCCCCATTCGCAGGGGAGCAGTCACTCGCCGTAGAACCGCCATCCGAACAGTTGTCCGTCGACGCCGCCGCGCCACTCTCCTTTGGAGATCCATCGGTATCCCCAGAGGTCTGTCGCACCACGAGATCTACAATATTGCTTGAAAACACATTATCCCACAACCCATCCGTGCCCATGATGATCCAATCACCATGTTGCAATGTTACGTCGATAGGCCCACCAACTTCGACGGTATCTAGGGAGTCAGTTCCAATTTGATACGGGCAGTTGAAATAATGTTGTTGTTCAGTTGTCTTATATACAATGGCTCCGTCACGAATTACAATAAGACCGGAATCGCCCACATTCACACCGATCAGCTTGGCGCCGTCCAACCCGACCACGCATGCCGTCGAAGAGCCTATCGCCCGGTTCTTTTCCGTGGCGTGTTTAAGCGCGTCGACAATAGCCGAAGGGCCCTCCCTGAGCACATAGTTGCGAGTTAATCGCGCCAATTCCTTTGAATACAGTCCGGCGTCAACGCCGATGGAGGCCCATCCTCCCACGCCGTCGAATACACCCAAGGCGTTGTTCTCGACGAAGAAGGCGTCCTCGCCACCTTTGTCAGCCTTTTCCGGATGCGGTATGCAGACGACTCCAGTGCAGAAGGATAAAGAAAGGTGAGGAGAAGGTCCTTTCTCTTCGGCCGAGTTTTTGGAATCTCCAGCTGACTCGATGGAGGAAGAGGAGGCCTCTGTGGTTACCGTGGAGGTGGACATGGTGCCTTCTGTGAAAGCATCTTTTTGAGTTTGCTCCGACTCAGCGTCTGGTGGAGACATGGCGTGCGAGGTGTCCTCTGAGGGGGAGGCATTATCGATGAGAGAGGCAGTCGGGGAAGGGGTTGCGGTGTCGTGTTGGAGTGGATTGGAGGGTGTTGTGAGCGATGAGATGGATGAGGAGGCGGATGACGAGGTGGCAGTGGTAACGGATTTCGGCTGTTGGAGGGTAGTAGCGGGGGTCTCAAAGTCCATAAGGACGGGTTCATAGGCGTCATAGTAGGGCACCAAGTTGACA